TACTTCCTTGGTTTGGTTTATCCCTGTGTATTTTATTATTTTGGGTGCTGTTGTAAATGCAATTGTTTTATTAATTTCTTTTATAGGGAGCTCATTGTGTAGGGAAAGAGCTGATTTTTGCATGTTGAAGTTATATTCTTCAGCGTTACTGAATTCCTTTACTAGTTCTTAACAGCTATTTTTCTGATGGACCACTTAGGATTTTTTCCTTTTTTTCTTTTCTTTATTTATTTTTACATGTAGATCATGTTATCTGCAAACAGAGGCTTTTTAAATTCTTCCTTTGTAATTTGGAACCCTTTTATTTCTTCTTAGCCAATCACTGTGAACAGGCTTTCCAGTACTGTGTTGAATAGAAGTGGTGTGAGCTGAGATCCCTGCCTTGTTCCTGATGTTAGGAAAAAAAAAAAAAACCTTAAGTGTGTCACCTCGGAGTATGATGGTTTTTGTCAAATACGGCCTTTATTATGTTGAGTGCATTTGTCATGAAAGGATGTGGAATATTGTCAAATTCTTTTTCCGCATCTGAAATGATCATATAACTTTTACCCTTTCTTCTGTTAATGTGATGTATCCCATTCGATTTGCTTATATTGAAATATTCTGGCATCCCACAGATAAATATTATTTGATCATGGTGTATGGTACTTTCAATTTGCTGTTGAATTTCGTTTTCCAGTATTGGGTTGGCCTGAGAGGTCCACTACATTTTTTTTTTCCCATACGATGGCTCTTGTAATGCTTCATTGTCTTTAACTTCATTCAAGACAGTTTTGTTAGATTTATTGCGACAGCTGTCATATGAGCACGCAGCGTCAATCTTATTTATTGTTGGCTGTTCAGATTTTTAAATTTTTTAATGAGTAATTCTTGGTACATTGTATATTTCCAGTAAATTTCCATTTCTTCCAGGTTATCCCTTTATTGTTGTACTGAGGTGGCCAAAAAGACCATTTCTTTATCTCATTACATGTACTTCTCTTGTTTTTCTCTTTCTGTCTTTGTGGTTTGATGATTTTTTTTTTATTGTTCTATTGCAGTTGTACCAATTTCCTACCCCGCCTTTTCTCTCCCCTGCCCCGCCCCGCCCCCCACTGGTTGGTTTTTCTCTTCAGCTTTTGTGCATCTGCTGTGGGGTTTTTCTGTTTGTTTGTTTTTTTGAGGTTACCAGGACGCTTACATTGAGCCACTTATTGTTGGAACAGTCTAATTTTAGCTTGTAAAAACTTACCCTCAGTTGCATACAAAAGCTCTACACTTTTCTTTGCCCCTTCCCACACTTTGTATTATTGGTGTCCGTTTCTTTATTTTAAAAAAAATTGTGACTGCATTAAAAAGGTTTTGTGGTTATTCTTAACACTTTTTATCTTTTACACTAGATACACTTATCTGTGGATTTTTAAAATCTGTGTTGTTCAAGGGTCAACTGTATTACCTTCCCCAGTGAAATACGTACTTTCATATGCTTTGTGTTTCTTTAGTGTTTATTTCAGCTTGAAGAACCCTCCTAAACACTTTTTGTAAAGAGATTTACTGGTGACATACTGTCAGAAAGACTTTGTGTCTCCTTCATTTTTAAAGGACAGTTTGTCCAGGTTTAATATTCTTGGTTGGCAAGGTTTTTTGTTTTACTATTTTTTTCTAGCCTGCAAGATTTCTGCTGAGAAATTGATTTGTTGTCTTGTAGTAGTTTCCTTATATATGATAAGTGGCTTATTTCTTCCTCCTTTTGAAGTCCGCTGTCTCTTTGACTTTTATAGTTTAATTGTAATGCATCTTGGTATAGACCCCTTTTGCTTCAATCTGTTTAGAGACTTTTGGGCTTCATGAATTTATTTCTCTCCCCCATCTCACATATAAAAAGATTTTCAGCCATCCTTTCTTTCTTTACATTTTTATTTTTGTTCAATTACAGCTTATGCTCAGTATTATCCTGCCTTAGCTTCAGGTTTACAGCATAGTAGTCAGACAGTCACGGACTTTACAAAGTGGTCCCTCCACCCCATATTTCAAGTGCCCACCTGGCACCATACACAGGTAATATGATATTATTGACTACCTTTCCTGTCCTGTAATTTACACCCCTGTGACTATTCTGTAACTACTAGTTTGTACTTCTTAATCCCTTCAACTCTTCCAGCCAGTCCCTGAATGGCCCTCCCCTCTGGTAACCATCCCTCAGTTCTCTGCACCTGTAAGTCTGTTTCTATTTTGTTTGTTTATTTCGCTCTTTGGAGCCCATAAATAGTGAAATCACATGGTGTTTGTCTCTGTTTATTTAACTTATTTCTGTTAGCATAACACCTTCTGTGTCCCTCCATACTGTCTCAGTAGGTAAAATTTTATCCTTTTTTATGGCCAAATAATATTCCGTTGTATATAAGTACGGCACGTATTTTTATCCACTCATTTGTTGATAAAAAAACACTTGGGTTGCTTCTGTGTCTTGGTTATTGTAGACAATGTTTCAGTGGAGGTGGGTGTGGTTATGTTCTTTTGAATAAGTCATTTGGGCTTCTTTGTATATCAAACAAGATGGGGAATTGCTGGATCATAAGGCAGTTCCATTTTAATTAGTGATGTTGAGCAACTTTTCATGTCTATTGACCATTTGTATGCTCTCCTTGGAGAAGTGTCTGCAGAGCTTCTACCCTTTTTTTAATTGGGTTGCTTGTTTGTCTGGTGTTGTCTGTGTTCTTTATAAATTTTGGATATTATCACCTTATCATTGGTGAGTATCTTTCCTCATTCAACAGATTTTCTTTTTGTTGTTGTTGTTGATGGTTTTCCTTGCTGTGAGTTTATTCTTGCCTATGGTGTAAAGTGGTGGACTAGTTTCATTCTTTTGCGTGTATCTGTCCAGTTTTCCCAGTCATTTATAGAATAGACTGTTTTTAACCCCATTGTACGTTTTTGCCTCCTTTGTCAAATATTAATTGACCCTATAGGTGTGGATTTATTTCTGGGCTATTTAATTTCATGATCTATGTGTCTGTTTTTATGCCAATATCATGCTGTTTAAATTACTATAGCCTTGAAGTAGAGTCTGTTATCAGGTAGTGTGATACCTCACAATTTGTTCTTTTTTCTCAAGATTGCTTTTGCTGTTTGGGGTCTTTCACATTTTCATAGAAATTTTTGGAGTATTTGTTCTAGTTATGTGAAAAACGCCGTGAGTATTTCAATAGGAATTGCATTTAATATTTAGATAGCTCTGGGTTGTATGGACATTTTAATGATGTTAATTTCTCTCTATCCATGAGCACGGTATATTGAGGTTGTTTAATAATGATGATTACATTAGACATGTTCTTCAAAATCACAGATAAAATATTCCATTTATGGGTATCTTTTAGATGAAGAATGGTTAGGACATTCCTAATTATGTCACAGAAAATTATGAAACATTACATTGAGGTATGTTTTCTCTATTCCCACTTTGCTAAGAGATTTTAGTTATATAGAGCACTGCATTTTGTCAAATGATTTTTCTGAATCTATAGAAAAGAGTATATGATTTTCATCTTCATTTTGTTTATGTGGTATATCACATTAAGTGAACTATCTTTGCATCCTCGGAATAAATCCCACTTGGTAATGGTGTATGATGTTTTTTAATATACTGTCGAATTCATTTTGCTAACATTTTATTGAAGACTTTTGCATCCATGTTCATCAGGATATTGGCCTGTCTTTCTTTGTAGTGTCTTTATCTGGTTTCGTACTCAGGATGATGCTGGCCTCATAAAATGAATTTGAGAGTGTTCTCTCCTCTTTTATTTTTTGGACTGAGAAGAATAGGTGTTAGATCTTCTTTGAATATATGGTAGAATTTACCTATGAAGTTACCTGGTCCAAGACTTTTGTGTTTTTTGGGAATTTTTGATTACTGCTTTGATTTCATTGGGTGTAATTGGTCTGTTTAGATTTCCTGATTCCTCTTGATTCAGTCTTGGGACATTGTATATATCTAGGAGTTTATCCATTTCCTGTAGATCATCCAGTTTGCTGGCATATAATTACCTGTAGTATTTTCTTACAATCTTTTGTACTTCTGTAGTGTCAGTTGTTACTGTTTCTCTTTCATTTCTGATTTTTTTTTATTTCAGTCCTTGGTCCTTTCTCTTTCTCAATGAGTCTGGTTAAAGATTTATCAGTTTCGTTTGTTTTCAAGGACCCAGCTCTCACTTTAATTGATCTTTTGTATTGCTTTTTTAGATTCTATGTTACTCATTTCTCCTCAGCTCCTAATTATTTTCTTTCTTGTACTCACTTTGGGCTTTGTTGTTTTTTTCTAGTTCCTTTGGGTGAAAAGATAGATTGTTAATTTGAGATAATTTCTCTCTCACAGAGATGTTTCTCTCCCTCTCTCCTTTCCCCTCTCTCTCTCTATAATCAATAAAAAAAATATGTCCTCAGGTGAGGATTTAAAAAGAAAAAAAGGCAATGAAGCCTGTAAATTCTAGGTCTCCTGCTAAGTGGGTCTCCTGCTAAACAGCATGGCGTGATTCTGTTTTTACCCGGAACAATAGACCTCACCCTGTAATTTGACTTTCACCCATGGTATGAATGCCAGGGATGGGCAGTGTGCATTGTCTTCACCTTTCATGACAAGTGCTGTGTGTCTTTCTACTGAAAACCGTAGAACTGGTATTTTTGTGACTTGAAATGATGCTATGGAGGCTTTCATTGGTGTGTTTATTTTACTATTTATTATGTTTTCTTTTGGAATGATCATTACCACATATAGGAAAAACTATATTATTTTCAGTCCCAAGAACGAAGGAGTAAGTGGCTTAGATGACTACTCCTCTTTCTCCAGGTCGGTTTTCCAAAAAAGATACTCGTTTGGCCTGGAGCCCAACCTGGCGCTCTCCGTCGGGCTCCTTCCGGGATGGAATCATGCCGACCCCAAGCCCCCCCGGCACCCTCAGTCCGGGAGCCGTCTCTGGTGAGCGTGCGCATGTGCAGGTGTGCCGATGCCTGCACCATGCGTCGGTGGGTCAATGATGGGAACTCCTACTGTCCTGAAGAGAGATGATGACGTAAAAACCGTGCTCAGTAGGGTTACGCTGAGGCCCAGTGCAGGTGCCGGTCATGGGAGCGTTATTTCCCTCCAGGGCAGTGGGGTTTGGCTTCTTGCAGCAAGCAATTATATGAGGGAGTCCCACATACGTGTCTGCATCTCTTCCGTGTCACCGTGGCCTTCTCGGGTTCATGGACTTGGATGGTGCCCCTTTGTTCCTTACGAAAGGCCGTACATGAAGTGAAGCCAGTCTTACCAAGCCTTTTTTTCCTCTCGTTGTGTCTTGCAGTGAGACCATGGTGCAGACTGGCGGCCATGGTCCTAATGTTTAAGGTGAGGGGATGTCTTTGTGTTGGCTAGAGACCAGAGACGGCGTGAAAGTAAGCAGGGGGCGGCCGTTCCGACGTAGACACTCGCTGTGTCTGCAACCCCAGCGCTGACGCAGGCTAAATTTTATGACCGTCAGCCTTTAGCGACGGGACCTTACAACTTGACAGATTTCTGTCCTCTCTTTAACGAATTGCACTACAAGGAGCTCTTTTTCTGTTAGAACCTGAGCAAATGCCGTGTGAGTGTGTGCACAGCTTGTCACCCATAATTCTCATGTGCCTAATGGATGATACATATCATGGTCCGTGATGAAATCTCACAAAACCTTGTGTAAACACTGATCATGCCGGTGGCACCCAGAGGTGGAAGTGCAGCACTGAGTTTCCCACGGGCCCTCGTTGCCCAGCGCTGCTGAGCGTTGGGGTAACTGAATGTGAGCTTTGACGAAATGATAAGGCTACACCTAGTCTATTACCGGAATAGTCAGCTTCTGCAAACGTGGTTGTGTTCGGTCTTTGCCCTCTTACGCTTCACCAAGATCCAGTCGCTGGTGCGCCAGTGACAGTGTTTCCTCTCCGGTTAGGCTTGTCCTGAATGATGGCAGATAGTGCTCTGCATTTGTACAAAGGGTGAGAGGCACAGTGTGGAGAATATTTGAAAATCGCTGTTGTGTCTTCACTTTGGCCTAAGTTTGACCAAATAGGTGTCCTGTCGATACGGGTGAGGAAACACTTGTATTGCTTTTGTGGGCATTTGGTCACACACAAAAGGGAACTTTGAAGTGCAAGGTGCTTAGTCTCTGGCTTGAAAATTTCCATGGTGGGTGGGTTTAGTCCTGAATATAAAGAGTGAACAAAATGGGAAGTGTCCAGATATCCGTGTTCCATGGAGAACATGGTGTGTGACTTCATGATGTCGTTCTTTGTTTTACCTTGATTAATAGGACTCCCCTGGTGTTCTGTCTGGGACCCGTTCTTAAGGCCATCAGTAAGCAGTATGCATTGTCTTCACCTCTCATGACCAAGGCCATGTGTCTTTGTAGTGAAAGACAAAAGACTGGTGTTGGTGTTGTATGTGTTGTTGAATCAACATTGCTGAGCCTTTCATTGGGCCATTTGTTTATGCTATCATTTATTTTTTTCATTCATTCACCCATTCCTTTATTCATTTTTGGAATGATCACTACCACACAAAGCGGCAACATGTATTAGATTTGGTCCCAATAATGTTGCAATAAATCGTTCAGATGGCTGTCTTTTTCTCCTCTTTCTCCCGGTCATTTTTCCAAAAAAGATTTTCAGTTGGCCTAGAGCTTCTCTGGCTCTGCGTATTAGGAGTTCTTCCAGAACTGGAAACGTGCAGATCCCAGGCCCACGCTGGCACCCTCAGTTCAGGAACCATCTCTGGTGAGCGTGCGCATGTGCAAGGATACGGATGCCTGCAAAGTGCCTCCGTTGGGTCAGTGATGAGAACTCATACTGTCCTCAAGAGAGATGATAACCTAAAAATCAGGCTCATTATGTTCACGCTGAGGCCCGGTGTACGTGACAGTCTTACAGCACCATCATGGGGAGCATTATTCTGAAGGAAGCAATTTCAAGAGGGAATCTCTCTTTCTCCCACCCAGTCAATTCCAGGTGAACACGGCCTGCTGTGGTCATAGGCTTTGATGGTGCCCGCTGGTTCGTCACAAAAGGCCGTACATGAGGCCAGTCTTTCCAGCTCTTTGTTTCTCTCATTGTGTCTTGCAGGGAGACCATGGGCAAAGTGATGGCTGTGACCGTTAGGTTGAAGGCGAGTGTCATCTTTGTCTTGGATGGAGACCAGAGGCAACTTGAAGGTAACAGGAAACTTGTTTTCAGACAATAAAGATATTTTTGGTACTGCTTTACCCTCAGCATTGAAGCAGGCTAAATTTCTTATGACTTAAGGAGAAACATGCTTTGGTCAATCTCAAAGTGACAGAGTAAAGAGTCTAGATGGCTGTCTTTCTCCTGTTTCTCCAGGTCACTTTTTAAGTAAAGACTTTCGTTTGGCCTAGACTTGCCCAAGCTCTGTCGGCCTCCTTCCACCATTGGAAACGTGCAGATCCCAGCCCTCCTTGGCATCCGCAGTTCCAGGACGCATCGCTGGTGAGTCTGCACATGCGCAGTTGTCCACGTGTCTGCAAAGTTGCTCCATTGTGTCAGTGATGAGAACTTACGGTCTTGAAGAGAGATGATGACTTAAAAATGATGCTTATTATGTTCGTGCTGAGGCCCAGTGTACATGACGGACTTCCGGCACCGTGATGGGGAGTGTTATTTCTGGGGGCAGCAATCTCAGGAGGGAATCCCTCGTGCCTCTACCTCATGATGTCCATGTGACAATGGCCTGCTTGTGCTCGTAGGCTTTCGTAGTGTCCCCTTGTTTGTCCTGGAAGGTCGTACGACAGGGCCAGTCTTTCCAACTCTTTGCTTCTCTCATTGTGTCTTGCAGGGAGACCATGGTAAAGGTAGTGGCTGCAGCCTTTATGTTGAAGGTGAGTGGATGTCTTTGTCTTGCATGGAGACCACAGATACCTTGAAAGGAATGGGAAGCTTGTTGTCAGGCAAGAAAGACGTTTGTGCGCTGCTGCTCTCTCAGTATTGAAGCAGGCTAAATTTTTTGCAACTTTCAGTTTTAGGAATTGGACCCTTAAATCTCCCAAGGTGTCCTTCCTCTTTGTAATGGGACTCTAAAGGGGCCCATTTCCTTTACCTGGGATCCTGAACAAGTGTCATATCAGTTGTATCCCAGTTTGATACCCGTAATTCTCATATCCTTAATGGATGATCAAATCCTCATTAATTTGGAATTCCAGCAGAATTTTGTGTAACAATAGCCATGCCACGGGGTCTAGAGATGGAAGTGCCGCAATGGTATTTGCCCGTGGGTCTTCTCTGCACAGCAATTTTGAATTTTGGGCTCGATAATGTGTCTTTGGCAAAGTGATAAGGCTTCACGATGTCCATTGATGGATTCATGAGCTTTTATAAACATGGTAGTGCATGATTGGTCCTTCGACCTCCTGTGCTTCGCTGCAGGGAGGTCGCTGGGGTGCCGGGGTAGTGTTTCCTCTCCCGTAGGGTTGCCCTAAATGCTTCCGGATGGCAGTCTGTATTTGTGCAAAGGGTGCGAGGCCTGATGTGAGAATAGTTGAAAATCAGTGTTGTATTTTCACTTTACTGTAACATTGACCAAGTTAGGCATCCAGTCAGTATCCGGTGAAGAAACACTTGCGTGCCTTCTTGGGGGATGTGCTCAGATATGAAAGGGAACTTTGAAGTGCAAGTTCATAGCTGGTGCTTAGGCTCCAGCTTGAAAGTTTCCATGGTGGGAAGGGCTTAGCTTGAATACAACATGGTGAAAGGGTGAACACATTGGGAGGTGTCCAGACACCTGTGTTCCATGGAGAAAATTGTGTGTGACTTCATGGTGTCACTGTGTGTTTACCCTGAACAATAGGCTCCCCCAGTGTTTTGAGTATGACCTATTATTGTTTTATGGCCAGGAACTGGCAGTATGCATTGTCTTCACCTTACAAAACCAACGTTATGTTTTTATAGTGAAATACAAAAGACTTGTGTGTGTGTTCGTCAGTCAACATTGCTGAGCCTGTCATTGGGTCATTTGTTTATGCTATTATTTATTTGTTCATTAACTCACTCATTCATTTATTCAGTTTTGGAATGAGCAGTACCACAGAAAGCAGCAACATGTATTAGATTCAGCCCCAATATTGTTGCAGTAAATAGTTCAGATGGCTGTCTTTCTCCTCTTTCTCCAGGTCATGTTCCCAAAAAATGATTTTCATTTGGCCTGGCAGAGTTCTTCCCGAACTGGAAAATGCCGATCCCAAGCCCACGCTGGCATTCTCAGTGCAGGAACCATCTCTGGTGAGCGTGCCCATGTGCAGGTGTGCAGATGCCTGCAGAGTGCCTCTGTTGGGTCACTGATGAGGACTCATGTTGCCTTGAAGAGAGATGATGACTTAATATGTTCATGCTGAGGCCCAGTGTGGATGACAGTCCTGTGGCACTGTGACAGGGAGTGTTACCTCCCTCCAGAGGCGGACAATATTCTGAGAAGAGTCCCCATGCCTCACCGCCCCCTCACAGCCATGTGTACACGGCCTGCCGGGGTCACAGGCTTTGACGGTGCCCCCTGTTTCTCACAGAAGGCCGTGCACAAGGCCAGTATTTCCAACTCGTTGTTTCTCTGTGTCTTGTAGGGAGACCATGGTAAAGTCGGTGGCTGAGGCCTTTATGTTGTAGGTGAGTGGAGTCTTTGTCTTGGCTGGAGACTACAAATAACTTGATAGTCCCGTGAAGCTTGTTTTGAGGTAAAAAAAAAAAAAAAAGACTTGTGTGTGCTGCTTTAACCTCAGTATTGAAGCAAGCTACATTTTGTATGCCTGTCAGTTTTAGGAATGGGACATCTGGGCATCCTCACTTCCGGGACACATCTCTGGTGAACGTGCGCAGGTGCAGGCTTGCAGATGCCTGCAACTTGCCTGTGTTGGGTCAATGGCGAGAACTCATACTGTTTTGAAGAGAGGATGACTTAAAAATCATGTTAATTATGTTCACGCTGAAGCCCAGTGTAGGTGACAGTATGGTGGCACCAGGATCACGGGGAAGAGGGTATTTTTTTTGCCTCCACGCTGTCACTCCCATGTCAACACAGACCCGTGCTGATGGCCACAGGCCGTGATGGCGCCCGCTTGTTGGTCACAAAGGGCCATGTTGGAAGCCAGTCTTTCCAGCTCTTTGTTTCTGCCTTTGATTGTCAGTGTTAGGGAACGAGTCCTCTAAAACCCAAAGATTTCCTTTCTATCGTTAATAAATTAGGGAATAAAATGGCTAATTTTTTTTCATGGGATCCTGAGCAAATGTCACATCTGTTGGTACATAGCTCATTACCCATGATTCTCATGTCCTTAATAGATGATAAATGTCATGGTCATTGTTGGAATTTCACAAAACCTTTGTGAAAAATGACCATGCCGGCGGCACCCAGAGATTGAAGTGCATCGTTGATCTTTCCTGTGGGACTTTGTTGCCCAGTACTGTTGAGGTTCGAGCTAATTTCATGGGAGCGTTAATGAAATCGTAAGACTCACCATGTCCGTGGACAGATTCGTGGCCTTTACTAAATTATGGTTGTGTCCGATTGGTTCTTTGACTCTTGTGCTTCAGCTGGCACGGGCCAGTGGTGCGCCAGGGATGCTGTTTCCTCTCCCGTTCGGGTCCCATCAATGATGCAGAGTACAGGTTCCCCTTCGTGCAAACGATGAGAGGCACAACGTTGGTCATATATGAAAATCACTATTGTATCTTCACTTTTACTTCAGTGTGCACCACAGTGATGTGTCCAGTTGCGTATTTGGTGAGCAGACACTTGCACTGCTCCTTAGGGGATGTGGTCAGATAGGAAAGGGAACTTTGAGGTTCGACACCCAGTCAGGACGCATGCAAGAGGCAACTGATGGATGTTTCTCTCTCACGTCAGTGTTTCTCTCCCTCTCTTTCTCCCCCCCTCCCTTCCTTGTCCTCTCCCTGTAAAGGGCGGGAGGGAGGGAGGATGGGAGGGAGGAAGATGTCCAGCGTGCAGCTGCCACGTAAGCCTGGTGCGCGCAGTGAGGCGTTAGGGGCATTAGCGTGCCTGCCAGCGCCCTGTGTGGAGTGAGGGGAAGCCTCCGTGGCGGCGGCTGCTGCTGCTGCGGGCCAGCTGGGTGGCCGTCTGGTCAGAAAACAGCACTTTGAGAACCAGCTCCGTTGATGATCCCTCAGTAGCCCCACCATATTACTACTGTGCACCTTGCGCTTTTTTTTTTTTTTTTTAAACATTGCAGGGTATTTTTCACAACACAACGTGTTTTCATCGTCTTTATTGGGTGGAAGACAGCTCTGGAATTTCCATCCAAGAGCCAACTACTGTGGGATGCCGTGTATAGCTCGGTAGAGAGGATTGTTGGCTCTTTGGAAAGGAAAGAATTCAGAGAGAAAACTAGTGACAATCAAGCAGATGTGTGTGGCCAGGGACACCTGTCTGATGAATTAAAACGGAGCCAGTGCTGGGCTTTATGGAACTAATTCAGTGCGCTTCCTGATCTGATCTGCTGTCTTTGTGGTGCGTTGCTGCAGGTCCAGGGCTTAGACGAGTAACTGTTCTGCCAGTGAACACTTTCCAGGGAACAGAGGTGAGCAGCGAACCTGGTGCTTTTGAATTTTTTTTTTATTGTTGTTCGGGTACAGTTGTCTCCATTTTCCCCATCCCCATCCCCGCCCCCCACCCTCGATCCTACTCCCTTTTGCTTTGTCCGTGGGTCCTTCGTACATGTTCCTTAACGGCCCTCGCCCTACTTTCCCCCTTTATCCCTCTTCCCCCTCCCCTCTAGTTACTGTCAGTTTGTTCTTTATTTTACTGTCTCTGGTTATATTTTGTTCACTTGTTTGTTTTGTTGATTAGGTTCCACTTATAGGTGAGATGATATGGTATCTGTCTTTTGAATTTTTGTTTGTTTTAAAACCAGTGATGCCACTTCTTCAAAGCCTGTGAGTTCACTTTTTCAGAGGCTGAAGAAAAAATACTTTTATATAGATATTTCTCATTGTGAATTGTCCCCATGTGGTTCAGGGAAGCCTCACTGTTGTTTCTTCCTTTTTTTTTTATTGTTATCCTCACTTAAGTACATGGTTTTCATAGAGCAGAAGGGAGAGAAACATCAATCAGTTGCCTCCTGTATGCACCCCAACCGGAGACCTAGGATCAAACCCACAACCTAGGAGTGTGCCCTGACCGGGAATCGAACCCACAGCCTTTTGGTATACAGGACGATGCTCCTGCCAGCTGAGGGCTGTTTCTTCCCTTCTTAAAATCCTTCATGAGTAACTTGAATAATTTGGGCAGATCATCCCCATGTTTTTCACCATTTTGTATTGTGTGAAAATAATCTTGCCATGAAATCCCAGTGTGCAAAATACTGACTTTTTTTTTTTTGTACCATTCAGAGCATAAATGCTTCAGCTTATATTTGTACTGTAATCATGCTGAATACTATTTTGTTACCTATTTACTCTTTAAGATTTTAGTTGAGCCCTGACTGGTGCCACTCTGGGTTGGGCGTTGTCCTGCAAAGCAAAGGGTCACAGGTTCGGTTCCCAGTCAGGACACATGCTGGGGTTGCAGGTTCAGTGCCCAGGTGAGGAGCATATGACAGGCAGCTGATCAGTATTTCTCTCCCTCTCTTTCTCGTTCCCTTCCCATCTCTCTAAGAATAAATGAAATCTTTAAAAATTTTTCAAAGAGTTTAGTTGATTAAAGGATTATATATTCCCAATAGATTTTTACCTTATTTTGTTTGAATAATTCAAGGTCCCTGTTTTAATGCCACATAGTGTATACCGGTGTCCATTGCATGTTTACTGCCGTTTCTCCGGGAGGCAGCAGCAGGCAGCCAGCCTGCTCCACGGGGGCCGGGCTGCTGCGGACGTGCGTGTTTGTGGGCGGGGTCCTGCTGGATCACTGATGAGCGAGCACAGTTGGCTGAGGGCGCTGAGGGCCCCGTTCCAGATGTCAGTCTGAGGGCCAGAGAGCGGTCCTCAAACAGGACCAGGAAGACTCCCAGAGCCTGGAGACGCCTCGGTGACAGCGTCATCCATGGCGTCCCAGCTAGTGAGGCAGCGTGAGCCGCTCGGTGGTGATCCAGGACTGGCCCCGTGTGGCTCCCTTTGCACAGGGAGTTGTAGAGAGATCCTCGCATACAGGAAGTACGTCCTGGAGTCGTGATGAAAAACCCGGAATGAGGAAGGGGACGGGCGACCGTGATGGACTGGAAGGCAAGGCAGCACCGCCTGCCTATTCCACGTAATGACAGTGGAGCCAGTTTTAGTTCCCTCCTTTTTAGGACATTGCCCATGTTCTAAGACTCTGTCTTTGCTTTTTTAGTCATGTTTTGCTGAAATCAGATCTTCCACTTCGGAGAGCAAGGGTGAGTACCCAACCGAGATCTTTTGAAATTGATGCCACGTGTTCTGCGGCAGGTCCTGAGGCCTGGTCCGCATCTTTTTAGAGCCTTGTTTGAAACTATTTATGTGATGCGCCCTGTCCCTTAGGAAGACCCTCCCCACGCTTACCTGCGTTGTCGAATCCTTAGCATTTCTTCCATTTTACCTTTTTTTGCTTTGATGGAAAAATGTATTAATTGAGATCATTTTTAGCAACTTCGTGTTGTTATTCTGATGAGAAATTATTCAGGTGAAAACCAAGTGTGCTGAAATATTATCAGATTATTCTGCCTCTGTTGAATTATTGAGATCTCTGAGCAGAGATTCCACGGCTGCCTTATCTCTCTGTGTTGCCTCTAATCGTTGAAGATGGATGTGGATTAATTGCTTCTCGCTTTTGCAGCGTGGTAAGTCGTGTGTGAAATTTTTTTGGTCTCTGTAAGACAATGGAATTTTTGTATGATAAAGGGTGTATGTTTTCTTTATCTGTTTGTTTGTTACTTTCAGTTTATACTCACATGAGTGAAATACAGTTCTTAACTTTTTCTGTCTGACTGACTTAGCTTAGCGTGATATTCTCAAGGTCCATCCGTGTTGTGGCGAACGGCGGTATTTCATCTTCTTTTGCAGCTGAGCAGCGTTCCATTGTAAATGTGCATCCCGTCTTCTTTATGTCTGGTCGTCGATCGAAGGACACTAGGGCGGTGTCCATGTCTTGGCCGCCGTGAATGATACCGTCATGAACATAGGGATGCATGTGTCTTCGTAAATAAATGGGTTCCAATGTTTCAGGTCGATCCCCAGGAGAGGGGTTGCTGGGCCACCTGGTAACGCCATTCTTCAGCTTTTGAGGAGCTGCCAGGCTGTTTTCCATAGAGGCCGTACCAGCCTTCGTTCCCACCGGCAGAGACCCTCCGCAGTGTCCCCAGCACCCGTTCGCACCGGTCAGTACTCGTCCTATTGGATACAGCCATCCCAGCGGGTCGGAGTTGGCGTCTCATTGTGGCGTGGTTTGGAATTGAGTATCTTTTCATACATCTGTTGGCTGTTTGTATGTCTCCTTGGGAGAAGTGTGTTTTCGGGTTCTCTGCCCATTTTTAATGGGATTGCTTGGTTTTGGGGGGCGGGCGGCGCTTGGTGTTGAGTTGATTGAGTTCCTTGTGTATTTTGGATGTTAACCCCTTATCAGAGCTTTTGTTTGCAAATATCTTCTCCCAGGGGCTGGTGGCCTTTTTGTTTTGTTGGCAGTTTCTTTTGCTGGGAAACCCGCATAGCCACAGACAACAGGACGGCGGTGGCCAGGGGGAGGGGCCCGTAAAGGGCCAAGGGGGCCCGATGCACGGCGACAGAAGGTGACTTGGCTGGGTGCTGGGCGCACAGTGCGGTGATTCAGAGAGGACGTGTCACAGGCGTCTACACCGGACACAGCGTTACTAACCAGCGTCCCCTGCAGTAAACTTACAAAGTAGAATAAGCCTTGACACGCTCGCGCGTTGACAGAGATTTGGTGCCATCGGAACTCACGTAGAATGACGGAAGAATATAAAATGGGGCGACTGCTTTGGGGAAAAGTTGCAGTACTTCTTTTGAAACGCAAAATAGTTCCAATTTGGGGCTGTAAAACAGATACGTTGGAGGGATCAGCTGGAGAGAGAGGGAAATGCCACGTCATTATTTCTTACTAAAACTTGAAACAGGCGCCTCAGGGAAAGGGGGCGTGCATTGCCTGGCAGGTGCCGATGGAGATCGGGTGCCGCGCACCAGCGACCAGTGCCCTGAGGGGGGGTAAGCGTTTTCTTGGCGACGTTCTGTCGTCACAGAGTCTATCAAATATTAAGTACTTATTTTTGTATTAATGTATTACAGTGTTTACTTATTTCCATTTATTCTCTAAAACCATAGGAGACAGTTCTAAAGAACTGAGTAACAACTTCTACGAAGTCACAGATCAAAGAGAAAATAAACTCTGGAACCTGAGTCATTAACAAACCTTTGGGCAGGCTGATGTGGGAACAACAGGATGTTTTTTACTTAAAAAGAATATTTTCGCAAACCCCTGTTTGTGTATTTATCATTCGTAGACTCACAGACTCATGCAGTTGGGTTACTGTCTCAGACCAAAGAGTTTAACAGCATGTGGAGGCATAACATATGTTCAGTAAGTGGCTACACTGTTGCCAAGTGTAGGGCGCAAACCTAGAAGCAGAAGGACTAGCAAATGGAACCCCTCTCTCTGGTTCACTTCAGCCTCTTTGCAAATGCTGCTCGGTCTGAAAGGTGCCGTATTTTACCATGTGTAACGCGCACTTTCTTGCTGAAATTTTTGAAGGGAAAATAAGGATGCACACTATACATGTGTAGTGTTATTCATTATCTACATAAATGTTTTAGTTATGCTCATGTGTTAAAAAATGTAATTCTCGAAAGCAATAATGATATCCACATGGAAAATAACACCCTGGAATATGATCGTCAGTTTCGTTTCTAAATATAAATAAATTAGAAATTGAACTAAAAAATTAAAATGGAAGATTTTTATCTGAAAAGTTGGGCCAAAAACGTGGGTGCACATTATACATGGTAAAATACGGTATTTCCCTTTTTACCTGATTTTTTAAAGTTTATAAATATGGAATTGCATAATTTTGTTCTTTATGACTGCACCATTTGCTCAAGAGTTTACTATTCAGATGAAAATTTCATTTGAAACATCAAATTTACTGTGGTAAGTTGGTTAGTGATGCACTCTTGTTATCATATTTTGTTTGCGTGTTGATATTTCATGTTACCTCATTCTTGATTAATCTGATGTGGGGGGTTCAGTCATATGAATTATTTAAAATTACTAACTTTTACTGGTTTTTTTAAAGCTTGTATGCGCATCTGTTTTGCTAAATGCTGCCCTTAAGCTCGTTAATTTTTTTTCTTGCACTCTTGCGGAATTTGACTTGCTTTTCATTATCTAGATTATTGTAAATATATACAATATATGGATGTGGGGCCTTTTGCAATTCTGTTACATTGTTTTTTTACTCTAAATTTCCCTGTAAGGACTTCTCAGTTTCATTAGCACAAGATTGGCTTTTTACGTCGTTTCTATTACTCATACAAATATATTTCCTACTTTCTGTGTTGATTTTTTTTTGAATTATGGGTGATTTAAAAAGGCACTGCTCAATTTCCAAACAGTTGGGCTTTTTCTGTTGGTTTTTATTACTGATTTCTAATAATTCCATACTACGAGAAAGCATATTTTCAGTGATCTTACCACTTCGGAATAATTTTGTGTCTCTGTAGTGGCCCCGGGTCTGGTAACATTTAGCAAGTCTTTCATTTGCACGTATAATTACATTAGGATGAATTATATCGTGGTGCACAAAATGTTCTGTACATGCCAGTTCCAGTCTGACGTTGCCTCGTCCGTAACCGTTCTCAAATCCCTAATCTGTGTAACCGTTCTCAAATCCCTAATCTGTGGCCTGAAAATGCACGTCATGGAAAGTCACGTGAGCGATGCTCATGGAAATAAGGCACGTGGGTGGTCTTGAGAAGCTTGGAATATTTGCGCCTTGATCTGTGTGTTAATCGGTCGCTGTGTTTGGCTGGTGCACGTGTCCTGGGCCCTGAATTGCAGCGCATGCAATTTTCTGCATGTGTTACATTGTAATAGAAAGTTTAAAATACCCCTTGAAACCAGTGCAAATATTAGCTAGCGCTTTTCTAGGAATAGTGGCTAATGCGTAGCTTTGGGGGCCTAATGGCTGCCATCTGTAGGTAGCTCAGCAGCGCGCTCTTAAATACAGACATTTTTGTCATCAGAGGTCACGGCGGTGCGCTGGCCGCCCCCCCCGCTCCCCACAGGGAAATGCCTTCTTTCCAGGCCCTGAAATTCTGTCCATTGCAAAGCGAAATGTGTGTGCGGAGAGGTCTCTGAGGTTGTGAGAAAGCCATTGTCTGGATAAATCATGCAGGTTTCACGTTGTATTTATAATATTAATTTATATTCTGATCGCTAATACAGTGGTGGCAATGGGAGGGGGATTGATTAGACTGATAAAAAGAGTGTTGACATAAAATATTAACCAGACCATCTTCCATAGTAGGAGCCTTTAAAATCCTGGTGCTGCGCAGGCATCTTTCCGGGCGATGTGAGCAGATTTCTATTTGGCGTGTGGGTTTTCTTTTTATTTCTTGGTCCTTGGTGTTGGCAGTCCGTGCTTGACAGCAAGCAATAGATACAAAGCTATACATGATGGTCCCAGGTTGTAGTTAGTTACAAACACAGGGTGCAAGACATTTTAATGTAGCCCAATGGCTACAAGAAGGTGGTGCACGATGGATTATAGCGTATTGTCCTCTTACAGGGACTGAGAGCTCCGGATATGCACACCCCTGTTTTGTGTCAACCACCCTATAAACATCTTACAGCTTATTCAGATGAGAGAGACTGTGTGTGTGTGTGTGTGTGTGTGTGTGTGTGTGTGAGAGAGAGAGAGAGAGAGACAGACAGACAGACAGACAGACAACTCAGAGAACCCAGAGCGTCTGGTCACCGGTGTGCTTCATGTAGGTCTGGTTGCGGT